CTATGATAAAGACAGAAACTATGATTCTTGCTCTTCCTTACTCCTACATATCCCCTCAGTAAGCGAGTCCAGCTTCACTGAAGTTCCTTTCACCCTGGCACAGAGAGCCGAAATAATGTAACCTGAAACAGTGCCCTCCACTGTCCTCATGCTATATCTCGCTACTCAAATGTGCCCTTAATGTGCAAATAAAGTTAATGTCCTGTAGACAGAGAAGCTTCAATAGATCTCTGTTATGCTTTGGGTTCGGATCGTTTCCCTAGGAGCTGCATGATTCTGTCATGTACCGGCCTATTGTTCTATCCTATGCCCTACTCCATTAGATTCATATTCACTATACACAGCACTGATCTGTTAGTGACTAAAATAATGTTAACTCTATTGTAACAGTACTAGCTTTTGCTAGAAAAAAAAAGAGGGAATATACTTTACAATCATACAGCTATTAAAGTAAAATTCTTAATGTTAAGCAGCACATTGTAATTATGAGTGATATGTAGTGATTGAACAAATATATAAAATGCAAGTCATTTCTCACACAATGGAAAAGAAGTAAAATGCAAGGCCAGCATGTGCTGGCCTTTGTTGTTGTTTTCTCTCCATTTCTACTCCTAAGCTTTAAATAGCTCTTCTTCAATGTCTATTCAAATGCTAACAAGTCAGAACATACACTCAAAAGGATGCTTTCCTGCTGCAGACTGTGATGATGAGATTATGCATTTCAACACCTGAATGTGACACATTAGAGAAGAATTTTCATCCCCAAGTATAGAGTCTCATTAGAAAAAATAAAATGTGAACTCTTCCTCTTAGGACTAGCATGTTCTTTCAGGAAAGTATGCTGCACTTGCATTGAAATGGTATTCTTTGATCTTCAGTGAGTCCAACTACACTGAACTCAAGTACGTTTAAAACAATGCATAGTGTTTGTTTTGTCATTACAAGTAATCCTGCTTTGGTCTCTTTGAACTGTTGGCAACAGGCAATTTAACTTAAGTCTTTTATAGACATCCTCTTCTCTTTATTGGCTGATGAAATTTCCCTGGTATTAACACCTTTCATGATACAATTACCAGATATATTGTTAAACTGCATCCAGGAACTCAATTGAATAATTTAAGAACAAGCTAACTTACCTTCTGACCTTTCTTAAAAGGAAAGTTCAGAAAGACAATCTAGAAGGCATGCTAAATCTCTGAGGGTTTTGAAAACATAGAGCTTGTTAGCAAATAGCTTCAGAGTGTCACTGTTAATTTGTCTAGTTTATAATTGATTCATTGTGTTGTAGACATATTAGAAACTTGTGACATGAAATACCTCACAGATGAATTGTGTTAGGTTTTAAAACATCAGTGACAACTTGTAAACATGCATAATGGAAAATAAGTTTTCAGATCATTTTTAAAACCAGTCCTATTCATTAAAATGAAATTTTAATCAGCTCAAAATTAAAATGTCATTTATTGCTAAGACTTTTCCAGCAAAACATAGTTGTTTAAGCAGCTGGCAAATTTCTAGATATCACATCTGGTAGGTGTGGATGAAACTCATTAGATTAAGTCTTCTAAGTATGGATGTGTGCCAAAGCTTTGATATGATAAGCACTCACTCCTGATGTCGGCCATTTGTTCTTTGCCAGCTCATAAGTGCTTCCTTCTAGCCATGGACTGCATTTCCGCTGGCAAGTAAACCACTGGCTACCACATCCCTGCCTGTGATAATCCCTTTGCAGAGTAATTCCTAACCAATCCAAAACAGTCAGAGGGAAGAACAGTATGCCGGCTGTCAACAGCAGCTTCCACTTAGGCAGAGAGCCTTAACAAAGGAAGGAAGTCTGTACATTTCTGAAGGGTCACTTGAACATTTTATTGCAGACTGAAAGAGGTTTATATAAAAGGCCTGTTAGAGAGAAGAGAGGAATCAGAACAGTTTGATACCACAGAAAACTTCTGCTTTCTTTTGGATATCCCCCAATAGGCAACTGGAAAATGTTTTGGTTTTCAGCTAGTGGTATGTAAGAAAAGGGCTCAGACAAGCTATGTGTAGACATAGCAGGTGCTTTAAAGAAGGGCTGATAGCACGTGGCTTGCTTTAAGGTGATCTTAAGCAGCATAACCCATTGATTCTAGGAGAGCTGTCTATCTCTCTCAGTGTGTGTTTTAAAGACAGAGCACTTCCATGGCTGAAGTCAACAGTACTAACAGAATTCTCTATTTTCAAGAAAAGTGTAATGAAATCTGTTACAGATGACAAGAAAGAATTGGCTGAATGGTGAATCAAATATTTCTATAACTAATTCAGGGATGAATTAAACTTAGGTATACATATCATCAATGACCCAGGTGCAACATGATTCATTATTTTTGATTGTACTTGGTAAGATATAATATAATGTGTAGTATAATATAATAATAAAGCACTATGTCCCTAATCTAGTGAAAGTATCAACTTTTGTATTCCTCATAACATTGTCCTTACTAGAAAAAATGCATTTTGTCTTTTTCTGGAATATCCACTGATATAGAAAGTCATCACTAAAGCATCTGTAACATCAATGTGCTTTGCATCCGATGCCTGTGGTTATTTTGAAGTTAGGGGATGAGGATACTTCAAGCCCGACACAAAGAAGAATTTTGAGGAACTGAAGCAATCATCCTACAATTTTCTGTAGATATGGCATAGCTATCCCAGAAAGATCTGTCTTCACACATGAAATGCCATACTATCACAATTACCTTGGGCAGACTGTTTAATAACCGGTCATAAAAATAAAACAATGCCAATTTAGTGAAAATGTCAGGAAAATTTCACATTTGCCTTAAATTATCTAGCTGATTAAATAAAAACACAATGAAATAAAATTCAATTTTATATTGATGATGCACCAATAGGAACTCTCACAAACTCAGACAAGAACATAAATTCATAGATAAAAATCAGAGAGGTTATAGAAATTTATATTTATACCCTGGTCCAAAAATATAATTCATCAACCTCACTCTTACAGCAGCTGGACTAGTTTTAAACAAGGACAGAAGCATCAAATACCCATTTCTCAAGGATCAATGGTGTAGTGGATAGCAACTCACAGGATTTTGTTTTTTAACTTTCTATTGATTCCTTGTGAGTTTCATATCATGCACCCCAGTCCTGCTTGTCTTCCTGTCCTCTCATATTTACCTTTCTGCATTGCAAGCCACCCCTCCAAATAAAAAACACACAAACCAATCAACCAACTAACCAACCAACCAACAAGCAAAAAAGCATAGAAAACTTATCTCATCATGGAAGCTTAGTATGTTACAGCGTGTCCCACAGTATATTCCTCTGTCCACACCTCTGCACTTGCAAATGTTCTTGAAATAAGTCAGTGGGCTGGTTCAAGATCTCTGGCTTCTGTAACACCCTCAATATCGGATGCTCACCAGACTCCTCCCTATTGTCATTCTGTGTCATAGAAATCTTGCAGCGTTGCATCAGCAGAACTGGCCCTTTCATGTGTTACAACCATTCACAGATTTAGTGCAAATTCCAGAACAAATTCACATTTGCCTCATATTATCTAGCTGATTATATAAAAACACAATGAAATAAAATTCAGTTATATATTGATGGTGCACAGTTAGAGCCCTGGATCTGGACCTAGGCGGTAGCTAATCTGGTCAGCCTGCCTGCTCTTCCTTATCCACAGCACCAACAACAGCTCTCCAGCACTGTTCTAACCAAATGCCACCACCTGCAGGAGGCAGGGTTAGCCCTCCTGCTCTCATGCCCTTTAGGCCATCTCTTACAACCATGCCTACAAAGCCAGCTCCACTGTGCAGCCCAGTAAAGACACAAGTGCTATTCTCACAAGAGATGTGGCTTGAGAGGGGCTGGAACAGCTCTCCTCCTATCTTACAGGTGCCTTTGGCATGAGGGCCAGCTCTATTGTGTTGCCCAGGAGAGGTGCAGGGCTCACCCTCCAGAGTGCTACAGCTAGTGAGGGAGCAGGGCTGGCTCTCCTGTTCTCATGACCTCAGGACCAATTCTCCTGATAAATGAAGGTGCTGAGGAAGGGAAGGGTTAGGGCGTCCCTCCCACACCCATGCCACTTCACGGCAGACAAGTGGTGGGGCCGTCTTACCTGCCTCTCCTTCACCAGTGCCAGCTCTACTGTGCTTGCAGGTTGCTGGGCCTGCTCTCCCAAGTGCTGCAGCACGAGAGCGGCAGGGACAGCTTTCCTGCTTTCCTGACCATGGCTGGGGAGAGGGGCACATCTATGTCCCCCAGGGAAGAGGGGTGCCTTGACCAGCTTTCCCTTGCTCTCATCCTTAGGGCATACTCATCTCCATCTCCACCTCCAAGGTCAGCTCTGCTGTGCTGTCCAGGTAAGATGCAGGGCCTGCTCTCCTGAGTGCGGTATTGGGAAGGAGCAATTGGTAAGGAGCTCTTCCTCACCCCTGACCCTGTGGACAGCTTTGGGAGGTGAAGAGGACTGGGAGTGAGGAGGAGGGTATCACCTCTATCACAGTAGTATCACATGCTACTGCTATCCCATGGCAGAGAAATGTCAGGGACATTTCTCCTACATTCATGCCCTTGGGGCCCGTTCACCCATACCTCTACCACCAGGGTCAGACATGGCCCTCGGTGGCTCAGACCTCACCATGGCCCCAGGTGGCAGGGCTGTCCACTCAGAACAGTCTACTATTCAGCCTCTAAGAGCGTCCCACCTTCAATCTCTCTTCATAGTACTCAAGCTACTCCTTTTCTCTTCCTCTCCCATCTGTCCACCGCATACTGGCAAATTGTGGTGGCTCCTGCTGCAGGCTTGTCATGTGGCTGGCTGGCCCCTGGGTGACATCCTCTATCTGAGATGCTTGACATTGAAGCAAGCAGATGCCTAAGGCTTGCCTGTGACTTGGGCTGGAGGGTAGGTCTGTAGGTGGCACAGCAGGCTCCAGATCCCCATCTGTCTTCCTCTCCTCTTGCTGGGCTGCCTGGACTTGATTTGATATTTATGTGTCCTAGGCATAAAACAGCTTTTATTTCAAAGCCAGTCATCAAGCTAGGATAAGCAAAGGACTGCCAATGTGCCCCTGACTGATATAAGAACAACACCACCAACAAGGTGTGTCTTTGCCCATTGCTAGGGAATAAGTCACAGGATTTTAAGGATGAAAAATGCTGTGGTTGCTCTATCCACCGTACAATCATAAAGAGACGAGCATGAAAGTCAGACTGCTTCATGAAAGTTTTCATATAATGTGTCGTAGACGGTGGTCACTCGCTGCTGCTAACTCAGCTCTCTCAAGGGCTCCAAGTTCCTTGACTTTGTATTGGACACTTACACCAGGTGTTACGGATGTGAACTACCTCTAATTCTACTTTACTGGGAATGCACACCTTGCCAGTCTGTTCTTGCTGGTGACCAAATACCCATGCTGTAGGGCCTTGGCTTGTCTTTACTGTTTTACTCATATTAAATATATTTAATTAGCTCCACCTAGAAAAAAAACAAACTTAGTTTCTAATTCTTCCAAAAGAATCACATGCATGCAGTTTAAGTGATAATGATTCTTATTTACATACATGTCTGCTATATTCCCCCTTGGTTCTCTGTTTCTAATTTCTCTTGTTAGGCTCTTATGTGCAGCTGCATTGTTACCCGATCTTTCAGCCATCCAGTTCTTCCCATTTCATGACTTAGTCACCAACTTTCCTGATTTCAATTTCCCTTTCACTCTCTCTGCACTCTGCAGTTTCTAGTTTCACAACATTATACACAGTATCAATTATATCTTTATTTCAAATGGCAGTAGGCAAAAAAAAAAAAAAAACAACAACAAACTAACACTAATCACTCAAAAGTAAAAACAAAACAAAGCAACACACAACAAAAGAGGACCATCTGCCCTTTGCCTTGCCCCTAGTGTAACCTGGTAAGCATCTCCTTTCACCTCTACCGTTACTTACTATCATCAGTCTTGAACTGTCTTTCGTTGGCTTGTACCACTTTTATGTCACTTGGGCTAATTTGCTGTCTATAACTCAGAGATCTTTCTATTTTCAAGTATTTTTTTTAAATGAATGGTCTCATACATTCTGTAATTTCAACTATTTTCTATACACCAATAACTCTAAAAACCTTCACCTATAGTCAACCATATGCAGCCAGCAGCATATGAATGTCTCCAACTGTGTGTGCTAAGAATGTCTCCAAATTATGTGTCAACAGAATTTAATTCATGATGATCTTGTTTCAAAACTCATTCAGTTCTTCACATTGATTCTTACTTTGTATATGTCTATACCCATGTGCACCCCTCCTGTGTGCACATGTCTAACTGTGTGTACACGAACGTGTGCATGCGATCAGAGAGCAGACTTGAGTGTTCTTCCTCAGGTACCGTCCACCTCTGTTTTGAGAGTGGGTCTCTCTTTGGGTTTAGTAGATTTGCTGGCCATGATAAAGACCAGCAAATGAGGATCTGATTAGCATTACCTTTCCAGTCTACTATTAAAAGTGTATGCTATCTCCTTCCTTCCTTCCTTCCTTCCTTCCTTCCTTCCTTCCTTCCTTCCTTCCTTCCTTCCTTCCTTCCTTCCTTTCCTCTTTTCTTTCTCTCTCTTCTTTCTTTCTTTCTTTCTTTCTTTCTTTCTTTCTTTCTTTCTTTCTTTCTTTCTTTCTTTCTTTCTCTTCTTAATTAACATGAATTTTTGGGAGCAGACTCAGGTTCTCAGATGTCCTTATACGTAGGCAACAAGAAATTGACTAACTGAGCTATCTCCACAGCCCAAGGACACTCCTTTTGTTTTTAAACAGCAATTTTTCTGACTGATAGGTAGAAAATTGAGCCTTAGACTCAATTTATTTTCTCATATTCCCTACATCTACTTAGATCTCAGGTCCTGATGACATGGCGTATTACAATTTCTAAGAGGATATCATTTCCTCTAAGAGGATTTCTAAGAGGATGTCAGTCTACTGAGCTGGTACAAAAAGATGCCTTTCCATATTTGTATTTATTTTATTTTATTTTATTTTATTTTATTTTATTTTATTTTATTTTATTTTATTTTATTTTATGTATAAGGGTGTTTTTCCTCTGTATGAGTCTTTGCACCATTTTTTGTGTCTGGTGCCTATAGAAGCCAAAAGAAGTGATGCTGCAGTAGGATTGGAATTTGATGGTTGTCAGCTGCAGCGTGTATGTTACAAATTGATCCTAGATTGTCTGTAAGAGCAACCAGTGATTTTAACCACTGTGCTATCACTCCAGACCCTTCAAAGACCTTTGAACTTGTAAAGCTGTTCTGTGCTTCCCAGACTGTTCTTTTACTTACTGCCCTCCAGACAGAGTACACACAGAATACTATTGATGGTGTGGATTGCTCCTTGTTGCCTTCTTAGAAAATCATTCTATCCTTATAGTTTTTCTACCTGGTACACATCTATGAAAAACAAACAAAATAAGAAACAAACAAACAAACAAAAAACCAAACTAAACAAAAATCCTGAGTGAATCCAACTTTATCCTTAACCTTAAAACCCAAAGATATTACAAGATTCAATAGAAAGGAACTCCTGACTGCTGACTCCTGAAGCAGTGGAAGACAGAGAACAGAACAAGAGCCTACCATAGGTGTTCTCTGAAAGGCTCCACCCAACAGGCAATTGAAGAAGATGCAGAGACCCACAGGCAAAGTTTGGGCAGAGTGCAGGGAGACTTATAGAAGAAGAGGGAGATATAAAGACTGTGAGGGGACAGGAACTCCACAAGAAGACCAACAAAGCCAAAATCTGGACCCATGAGGTACTACAGAGACTGATGTACCAATCAAGGGCCATGCATGGAGAGGACCTAGACCCTCAGCTCAGATGTAGGCCTTAGGCAGCTCAGTCTCCATGTGGGTTCTCAAGCAAGGGGAGAAGAGACAGTTTCTGACATGAACTCAGTTGCCTGCTCTTTGATCACGTTCCCCTGGTAAGGCAACCTTGCCAGGCCACAGAAGAAGAGGATGAAGGCAGTCCTGATGAACCCTGATAAGCTAGGGTCAGATAGTAGGAGAGGAGGACATCCCCTATCAGAGGACTAGGGAAAGGAGGATAAGTGGGGAGGGTTGGGAGGGTCCAGGAAGAGATGAGGGAGGGGGCTACAATTGGAATATAAACTGAATAAATTGTAAACAAGAAAATTTAAAAATTAAAAAAGAAACTCCTGGTTAAAAACAACTGAATTTTTAAGATTATTTTGCAACTTTAAAATTCTTGAAGGTAATCAAATTTTTCAAGCTTCAAAGTGTGTTTTTTATTTGCAAAATAAGAATATTAATAGTTCTGCAATATAGTCCCTTTGGGAATAGATCAGATGTGTGTAAAGTTCCTGTGAGGGTATCTGGTATCATTTAAGAATTGCTAGTTATCTTGACTACAACTGAGAATAATAATTGTATGCCAGAAATTACTGTGAAATGTATGGGACAGGCTCAACTCAGTTCTTTCTCAGATCTCAGCCATGTAGCTTAAAGTTTTTTCTATCACAATACAGTAGAATATCAACCAAACTCACTTCAGAGAATAGTTCAGGAATCATGTGACTAAGTAGAATTAAAGTGTATAGCATATAGAAAATAGTCTATAAAAATGGTCGACATGGTAAGAACATGGCCTATTATCTTTCAAGTGTAGTTTTTTGTTTTTTGTTTTTTCCACCATTTTGCTAGCCTGCTTTGGTGTAAGTTAATATATAGTATGTAGAATAAAATAATCTGAAAGGGAAATTTGCACTATTTTAATAGTATAAGAAATACTTACAGTTTCCTAATTTTTTTTCTATTTTTAATTGTTGAGAAAAAGAAATAGAAGTGAGTCAACTATGGAAATGTTAGCTAGAGAAATGCTGTTGTGAAATGGAATTTGCTGACTCCAAGGGAATTTCTTAATCTATTGTGATTAGTTGAGTTACTCATGGTCACAGATAGGACAAAATCTTCAGGAACCCTGAAGATTGAATTAGCCTAATTTTTTTCAGAGTAGAAACACCAAGGTTACTAGTCAAAAGGCTCAGAATGAATTACAAAGAGCATAGGTGTGTGTTGTACAACTGTTGTAACTAAGGTACTGATTCAGTTTGGAGTCTTCTTAAAACTTTTCTGACGCTACTCTTGCTGTGCACATGGCTCTGCATTGCAGGACTTGGCACTTAAAGCATCTCAAAAATCAATGGACTTGGCAAGGGGCATGGTGGAGATGAGGGAGGGAGGGACTGGGAGGGAATGAGGGATCAGGACACGGCTGGGATACAAAGTTAATAAAATGTAACTGATAAGAAAAAAATAAAATTCAAAAAAAATTCACTCTGATTAGCTACAAACTACAATAAGTCTTTAACGTTCTAAATAATAGAATTGTTTCAAATAGGAAAATGACATTAATTTCTACTTTTCAGTGTGATTTTTTTCATTTTTAAATTGAGTTTTTTTCATAAAAAAATATATATTTTTTAATTTTTAAAATTTTTTTATTAATTACACTTTATTCATTTTGTATCCCCCATAAGACCCTACCTCCTCCCCTCCCGATCCCACCCTCCCTCCCCTTTCTGCATGCATGCCACTCCCCAAGTCCACTGATAGGAGGTCCTCCTTTCCTTTCTGATCTTAGTCTATCAGTTCTCATCAAAAGTGGCTGCATTGTCCTCTACTGTGGCCTGGTAAGGCTGCTCCCCCCTCAGGGGGAGGTGATCAACAAGCAGACCAATCAGATTATGTCAGAGGCAGTTCCTCTTCCCATTACTATGTAACCCACTTGGACACTGAACTGCCATGACATAAAATATATTTTGATCATGATTTTCTTCTCCCAATTCTTCCCAAGTCTTCACCTCACTACCCACCCCACTTCATGGTCTTCCTCTCCTTCTCTTTCAACAGACAAACACCTAGACACAAAAACAATTAAGGCAAACAAGAAACATACCAAAACCGCAAGTGTAAATTTTTTTAACTCTTGCTTCTGCCCCATTCATTCAAAGGTGTGTTCTGGGACAGAGAATAGACTTTTCGGGCCTGTGGTGAGCCACCTGCAGCCCTGGACTCAGGGAAGACTGGAGCTACAGAGCAGTGTGCTCTCTCTCAGGTGAGAGGCAAGGAGT